CCCTTGACGAATCTGCTAGTCTGGCTCCCTGCCCAAAGATTCCCAGACGACTCTTGATAAAAAAAAATCTTAGGTCAGGCGTCACCGGCCACGGATATATAAATATGACGCAAGGGTCAGGGGTCACAAGTTGAGAGCCCGAGTGTAAGTTCGATTTCATTACAGTGGTGCACCCTGTATGCGTGGACATTTAGCATTCTTCCTCAGGTCCTGATTCTTCTTAGTTTCTCCTCCAGGGTGATCAAAGCCTGCAGGACTTTCCAAGCCTGCATTGGTCTAAGAGAGTTATATTCTGCATGTCGCCTAGCTGGCATTGATTTCGGCCAAGGCGACCTTCAATTTAAGTGTAAATTTAAGTCAAATATTGTAGGATCAACAGCTGCCATTAGGATACGGGAGTTTACATTCAACAGCTTGCCTACTTACCCGGCCGGGAATAACCGAATGTTAACGGTGCCATCCAAACATGCCAAATATAGATGGGACGACTTCGGAATATTTCGGCTATTTCTGGAAAACTGGAGGAATTCCACCAGTCTTGGTCACTGACCTTTGATTCGTAGAATAGTCAGAATCATCGGGTCTGGTATCCAGACTACGAATCTGCCAGCCCGATTCGTACACAGCGAATCGGCTCATCTACCAAAACAGGCAGCAGCCAAAGATCGGTGGACTTGTTTTTACACCGTTCATTATAATGAACGAGTCTACAAGTCTGACTTTCATTGGTTGAAATTCTGTATATATCATGCAAGATGATGTCGTTCATATGCAATTAGGATCACAACATCACCGATGGGGTATCCGTCAAGTCGGACTTACTGACTGGTGACACAAGTTGTACAATCTTTGACGTTGACGTCAGAGCCTGAAAGTTGACCCCTGAATGGCGCGGTTCTGTAACCCTTGGATTGGAAAAGTAACGTGCAAAAATTTTGAAATTTGTAACTTTTTTTCGTCCAGTTTCCTCTTTAAAAATTCTACTCGTAAAATGGCCTTTTGTAAAATATTTTCTAGCATACCAAATTATGGAAACAGAATAATTACCTAACCTAAAAGAGAAATATCCTGCCAAAAATTGGCCGTCACTTCCGAAAATCTATGAAAAGCACTGCAACTCGGTGATCTCGTACGCAGATGAACAGTTACAGAATTAAACTTTATCGTAGTCTTTCGGTATAAAAAACAAAACATTATTTGGATTTTGTAATTTATATAAGGAAATAAACTTAAAGCATTAACGTGCTTTACGAAAGATTCCAATGTATAATCTAACCTTTGCTGACAAGTACTGCGTCAGGTCAACTCGACTGAAACTAGTGTCCCTCGACTGAAGGTATAAATATTTGCAATTTTGTACAATCTCGTTTCCACGTAAGCACGAGGAATGGAAACAAACGTGCATGAACAAGGAGACGTAGGAACGATACTGCGAAAGTGAAAGGTTGTTAAAGAAATTCGTTTTTTACCCATCTCCAGGTGACTTTTCCCAAATATTACTAGAGAAGGGCATGGGGAAAACTCCAACGTGAGTGTTTCTTGGGGTGGTTTCAGTTAGAAACCATACTTCCAAAAATTATTGGATGCCCATGTCCCCCCAGGCAGACTGCGCGAGGGTTCCGGAAGCTTGCTGCGTGACCTTTACTTTCAGGACCTATTGCAGAAAAACTGTTAAATGAGGGCGTCGTATAAGAAGTTATGCTAGAGGCCAAGCGCAACTACTGCGTACTGTGTACGCAAAGAGATGATTGACTGGAAAAGTAACACAAATCCGACTTGATTAAAGTCTAGTTTTGGGCTCGGAGTTTTTTTGGTTTTTTTTGTTTTTTTTTGTTGCTGGCGTTATAGCCCTGCCTTCTGCGATGAATCACGAGCATCACATACACTAGCAAAATCCACTGAAATCACCAAAGTTCCAAAAATGTCGTTGCAGAGGAACAGTGAATTCACGTCTCTAAATAGTTAACATCAGCACGGACCGCCTCAACATGGATTACGCGGTAGAATGAAGGTTCAAGAGAAGTGCAAACAGGGTAGAAGGCTCAACCAGACAACCGCAACCCTAAAACTTACTTCTTAATTGCTCTTACAGGAAAATTGAGTTTATTTTATACCACTACTCGGGTCGCAATGAGCTTAATAGAAAAACTCAACAAATGATACTTTGGGGGTTTTGTTTTCAACCAGCCAAATATTTGAGGAATTTATTCAGCTTTACATCCACTTTGATGTGCTGTCATATTTTTCGCACAGGACTTGATCCAGCCAAGCCAGGGTTCAAAGATCACACGGATTTACCCGATTGCATTCTGGATAAAAGTGATGCACAGTTTGTTGATGTCATCCATTCTGACAGAGGACACAGTATTTATGGATTGCAAACGGCGGTAAGTATCTCCATCGGTTAAAATTAGGGGTTGAAGGTAATCTCTTCAGTATATAAGGGTGTCCAGACTTTATTCGCCGGCAAAATATCCACGACCCCTGTCGGTTAGCAATTATCCGTTGGCTATGATAAGTTGTAGCGAAGATATTGAGAGCTTTTTTGCGGTTTGTGGAAGAAGGGATGTGGGCCCCGTAATCGTCCTTTTCGTCATTAAAGATTTTGCTGGGGGTAATGGTGCTTTACCTCCCTTTTGGCCTCCCTCTGTACCCGCGGGAACAGATTGGACGGGTAGGTGGATGGTTAGGACCGAGGTCCACGGAGCTATTTTTCTCATGTCTGTATTTTTTCCCATTTCGTCAGATCGGTCATCAGGACTTCTACCCGAACAATAAAGAGTTTAATCAGATAGGGTGTAATTACTTCAATACCTTGACTGGCTGCGCTCACATGCGTGCTATCGACTTCTTCATAGCGAGTGTGGAACACCTCCGAAACCCCTCCGAAGACTGTAACTACCAGACTGAGCCTTGTGATGGAAGCGACTGCCCCAGTAGTGGTTGCCCCAAAATGGGCATCGAGGCTAGCCCTACTGGGGAAGAGCCTGAAACCTATTGTTTTAAAACAGAGTGTTATAAGTGGTGAGCTCAAACCGTGTCATGTCCATGTAGTCGTTACTAAACTGGGTCCTTTGTGTAATGATGACGTCTTAGGCCACTTCTGAATTACTTGGCCATATGGCTTGAAACTACCCACAACTTTAAGGAAATTGTCTGTGGCCATTACCATGGACCCGTGCGTAATTTCAGGCCATCGATAAGTGATTTGGACACAGCCTGAAGTTGTTACACCTTTATGAAGACGAGAGGCGCGCACATCCAAACAGTGCCACTTTTTTTCTGCATGTAAAGAAATAAATTTACTGCATTTTTCTCCAGTGATCGAATTTTCAGAAATTCATGTTATTAGATTAAGAATTGGGTAATTTCGGAAAGATGGTAGGGAAGGAGCTTAAATGTCTTAAGGGTGTTTGTATGTATTCTGTTATTTCATCCACATTGCCCATTGTCACGGTTAAATTCAAACAGATTTCTGGGCAGTTTGAGTTCCCCTGTGGAATTCGCGTAGACAGATACACTATCTCAAAAGACAGTGATGTTTGCTTTCGTACCTCAGAATTTTGGGGGATTTGCTAATCATGTTTTAAAAGCGATAGTTAGTGTAAAAACTCCATTTTAATCGTCATGCCAGCGCCCTGGCAGTAGCCAGGAATCATTGAAAAATACCAATGTGTGCTCATACTTGCGAGGTCGTCTGTGTGAAAGCCTTTCACAACTGAGGATTCGCGTATATTTTCACTTAGATTTTGGTAATAAATTTGATTTACAAAAGTATGTCAGCCGCTAAATTGTGAGTTTTGCTTAAGTCTTGATATAGAGGATGTTTTCTTTAGAAAATAAAAGAAATATGATTATCATTCAGAGAATGTTTTACTTAATTACACTAAAGAGGTTAAAAAACACGCAAAGTTATGTTTGGGGGATTTCCGTGATGTGTTTTAATTTGGTTGTACTGCCAATTTATTATTCTCTGCTCCATCAGTTCTAAATACGCTTTTTGGGTAAGTCCAATTTTACAATAAGAGGTATGGAGTTGATTTTAATTAGGCCTATGGACTACCTAATAAATTATTTTACTCTAGTCCTTAAAATTGTTCCCGTATATTTCCATTTAACCTCATTGTCAATTTCTGTTCGCTATTTTTACCTATATTTTGGATGCTTTTGGGTTTCATGCTGGTATGAATTTGGATATTTATGAGCAAAACTGTGACATAATCCAAGGCACTGAACCTCAGTGTTGTACTGATTTGTGCTTAAAAATGGCTAGAATTTTTTTATATTTCCCTGTCAAAGATTTCCATTTCCCGCAATTTATTATTGTATAAGTGTATGGCAATAGAGAAGCCAGCAACCAACTTTTTCTCAGAAATGTGTTCAAAGAGCAAATTCTAGGTTCAACATTAAAACAGGGAAACTGAACTTTTTTTTCCCAGGTTTTACATCACTTCAACAGCGCTGATCTTACTTGTCTGGAAAAGCTTGGCCATTGTTGATTGTGTCATAAAGTGCACTTTACAATTCGTTTATTCCAAACAGATTTCAAACTTTTGCATAACATTGAAAAAGGTTTAGACATTCAAAAAAGTGATTCTGAGAAATTTTCATTGCAAGGATCCTTTATGAGTTAACACTAACTCAAGAGACCGCCAGTTATGAGTTGGACGACGTTGTCAACAAAAAACTCGTAAAAGCTCACACAACGAAAGACCTGGAAGTCTGTGCCCCGACTACGATCATATAATTTGTTTTGATACCAGATGGTAACAATGCAACACTCTCTAACACCAAAGTTTGATTCAATTCAATTTGATCAAACATTCATGTTCACATTGAAGTCATCTATAATAGATCTAGAACAACTCATACTGTTAACAGAAAATACTCTGTTATTATTGACATGATATGCCCAAAATACATGTGCTCAATATTTAAAGATGTCGACATGAAAGTAACTAAGTTCTTTATGCTTCCCCTTGCACATGGACGATGACAGGACAATACATTCTGGAGCGAGACACAGTTTGATGGTTCTGAAAATAAAATTTGCCTTGTCAGAGATCTGACATCGCACCAGGTTTAACACTATAAGACCAAGGTTTGCCTCCTGGACTTTACTGTTCTGTCGGAATACCTTCTAGCAAATTCGGGCGCGACCTATTGTTTGACCAGTAGACAACTTTTGCTTTTTAATAATGCTCATGCGCAAACGACCCGATGCTCGGTCAATGTTTTAAAATGTCGTCGTTTATAGTATTTATACTCACTGAAATCTCGTACAGTTATTTTCATGTGAATGGTTCCCTCTGTAATGATAAATGAAATCGGTTATTGATAACCAGCGGTGCGACCATACCTTTTGCTTGGTCTCAAATGGTCGACTAGACACATCTACATATAGTTCAGGCATCCATCATTTGACCGTTGTTAGTCGAGCTACAGTCATCCGTAGTCGTACGTAGCTCAAACTTGCCCAATTGTAGCAAGACCTATTTCCGTTGACAGGAGCCCGCGCCTGGAAAGTCACCGGACCTGACCCCCTCCGCTAAGCACTCAGAGGAGGTGGAGACTGCAGCTTCTCAGCCACGTCGCCCGGCTCAGTCCCGAGAGAGTTCCAGCAGGCAGATCCTGCTTGCTGTACTACCACACTACTAGCGACTCCTTCGTGGCCGCCCCCGACTTACCTGGGTGCTGTAGATTGCTCAGGTCCGTCGGCTACATCACCTGATGGATCTGGCTCTCAAACGGTAGGCCTACAGAGAGTTGGTCGTCACGGTCACTTGCCATGCGATGTCCATGTACGAGTTGGTTATAAAGCTACCTTTGTAAGGTGCTGTAGGTACATATACATGTAATATATAAATCTGCACCAAAACAGCGCCTCTTCGTGTCAATGCTGTCATCATCCCTTCTCCAGCTTTCTGAATTTCCATGACAGGGGCAATGTTTTGGTTAACGTCATCTGGCCCGTCTCACACCCCCGCCCCCCGCATTATTCATTGTATTCACAACACTGCAAGCATACCTGCATACATGCTTGCACGTTCATGGACTAGTGTAATTGATGGTTAACAGCGGTGCCTCACGCTGCGCTGGTGGCTGCCCCCACATCATAATTTTGAGGCTTCTTTTGTCCAAAGGTATGTACAGAGGAGGTTTCCGCCATGTGGAACAAAATAATTTCCCTGCCTGCAAGATGGCTACAACGCAAAGCTACGTTTTAGTTCATCGATGCGCTATTTTTGACCCATCCGTGAGAATCAGGCAGTCTGAAAGAGAAAAACTGACCATGAAATGAGAACAAGACCCACTTGCTAACCAAGCGCTCCCTTGCTTAAATCGCGCTGTTTTAATTCCCTGTCTGTCAAGTAGGCCTACCTGAACAAACGCCCGGTCAGTTTGCTTGATGTTCAACTTTGACCTATGATAGATTCACTTTGGTCACGTGCCTGTAACATTTGTGACTAAAGTGGAAATGTAGTCAGGATTCCGCTTACTACCAATTCATCCCAGATGACTGAATCTATTGGGCTTCTAATTGAGCGGGTCATTAGAATATTATGGCGGTCTTGTGCCGACGGAAAGCTGGAGTCGTCCTCAGCTAATGTCAGCGAGCGGTCTAACTGAGAAGGCCAAAAGGGAGCAGGCTCGTTTGGGGGCACTCTACCACCAGGCGCTGTATTTGCGGCACCACTCTTGACGCTGCGGCCAATATTACGCACGAGTCTATGGTAGTGGCGCTGTTGTAACTACGGCGGGGATCGACGTGCCCCCCGGGTACCCCATTTGAAATCTGTGACTGTATGAGTTTATTTAGCTATGCAGCAGCAGCTTATTTTCTTGTGGTGCCCCCTTGACAAAATGTGTGCACCCCCAGGTGCGAGTGCCGGCCCCGGGACCCTAGCCCGCCAATGGTAGAACGACACGTTTGCTCACATGTTAAGCTGGTACGTTCATGAGCAGGAATTGATACAGGCATAAACATAGCGATACTTTGTTGATGTAGTCCCGTGTCAAGTCGTGACTCGACCTTTCAGGCCAATAACTACAGCAACACACATGCGATTCCGATGAGCTTCTAGGCAGTTACGTTTATACAGGGATATGTGAGAAGTACATGTGTGCTATGTTGATGTGTTGGCAAGACATGCATGTTGGTGGTTGAACTATCGTAGATTTGTGGGCGCACCTTAAATTATTGTCACGTTCCGTTACGTGGGGTGGTGATACCTTACGGTGGTGGGGTACGCCTAAGTTTTAAGTTAGGGATTGATCTCCCCGGTGATTAAGATACTCCAAATAAAGATCAAGAATTGGCACAAGGAATTATTCTCAGAGTTAATTTATTTCTATTTTAGGACTAGTGCCCCAATATTAAGATTGGAGTTAAATGGAGGTTGACCATGATAAAATAATTGATATGGATTGATTGACCAGTAATGGAGAAAGAAGCTTATGCTGTGATAATTGCAAGAATAAAAAGTTAAGTCATAAGATATGACAGAGCCAATGGGCAAAGGGGTAACACTACAAGATAAAAAGACAAAAAGGCAAAAGACAAAAGTACACTGTGCAACCTGCTCTCTCTCTACAGAGACATGTAATAGTCAGTGAGTGCACCATGAAACAGTAATTTACTTCGTGCATGCATATGTGTACAAGTCACCAGGGCAAACTTTCCACAAACAACATCAGTCAAAATGACGAATTTTTGCCTGACACTTGGCCCACACGTACTACGAGACAAATCTGTCAACAGGCCAGAACCGTGGATAACGATAAATGAATGATAAAAGTTGCAAAAGTTTATGACAAGAGTGAACTCACGTCCTGACAGAACAAACTCCTAGAGAGAGGCAGATGGTCACGTACGCCACGGCGAAGTACGTCGCGTAAGCGTACAAAAATACGTTCTTGTCTGGTACGAACTAATGGAATAAAACCTTGCAGACTAATATTGATGAGGATACGCTTAATTTTTTATTATGACCATGAACAACCTTTGGGGCGACTCTACACAGAAAATGTAACAATTTAAATACAATGTTGGACTATGTTAATTGAGTAAGAACAGTCGGGGTTTTTGAGAAAGTGCGTGGTACGGAAACCTGACAGAACCCTAGACTTGACAAAGTCTGACTACCACAATAATAAGCAACTATCTGTTTGGAAGAGGTGTGGTTCACTCTGGAGAAACAAAACAAACGGAGCGGTGAGCCAAAAACTCCACTAGAGGATGCTTTGGTCGTTCCCAGGAAAGTGACGTCCTTTTTGGACGTGATTTTCAGTGATTAATTTGTTCGCTCTTGGATTTGCCCTAGACCAATTAGATTGTTCGAAGTGTGATTGCTGTCATACACAGCCTGATCAGTGATTGGTTGTAGTGTTCTTTATAATCCCGTCCTTCTAAGGGTTTTCCAAAGTCGACTTCCATGTGCAGTTTGGTGTAACTCAAAAGCCCACCTTAAACGCCAACGCGTCAGCCAAAGGTAAGTGAAGACATCGACAGCAGGACTGCCGAAAAGTTGTCCTTAGCTCGGGCTGCTGAAGGCAAATAAATGACCCATGGTGGTTTTTTAAGTAATAGAGACACTCACTAATATGTTTTCATTGTGTACAAGTAACGCGCTTGAAAGTTGAATTGTTTTGGGATTTGGAGGGGAAATACTCCTTATTTGTCATTTTAAAATTATGAATCTTTTACGGTGGTCCGTTCATAAATTAAAAAATTTAACACAAAAATTTCGTTCAGTAATCATACATGGGGGGGGGGAATTACACAGCGTTAACTATTCTTAAACATTTAGTAGCAGATGTAATATTATCGAGAATTTCACACCTGGTGTACTCGCGTATAAGTGTCCGCACCGAACCAAAGTATTTTGAGATTTTGATCAAGTCCAGGTAGAAGTGCATTACACTGGTGTTTCGAATGTTATGGTAAGATTAGACGAATATTGGCCGTTGAAACGATGTGAATGATGCAAATATCGCAGGGCACATAGATGAAGGTTACTGACATATATAACCATAGCTGGTGGGCGAGTCACGTTTGAACCACGCAAAAGCTGTATTGACTGTCACTCTCCATATCTCCTTTCATCCGTCCCACAACTGCATTGCCTTTTCACTTTAGACTTCATTTTGCTTGCTTGCGTTCATATTCATTTCTTGTGCAGCTACAAAAGCTCATCCCTCCCCCCGATGTATCAGTTTATTGTTCTCCAACTTTCTAGTCAATTAGCAATCAATCGCATTTAATTACAGCTTTGGTCAAAGATGTCTTGTACCAATGGCATGCATTAATACCTAAAAGATTATCCATTACGAAGTTTTTAGTTGTTACGAAGTTTTTGCGATGGTTTTCCCATTTTTAGCAAAATATTAGGGTATCGCCCTTAACAAAACTCACGTATTTCTCACAAGTGTAATATCGCTTGATATCCATTTTTAGAACTTCTAATAAAGGACGATTACTTATGGAATCGAGATATTAAAAGAATGAGAATAAGACATTTAAATCTATTGTCTATGATCCCAAACAATGATGTCGATTACAAGCTGAATCTTACGCTTGGTCTTGATCCAGTCTATGACTGATTTCCAAAAAGAGTTGACATAATGACAATTACACAAAAGGTGAATAAGGGTCTCTTCCTCTTCATATACAAAATGAACAAAGATTAAAAGCTAACTTGTTTGTTCTAAATAAAAATGAGTTCGGGCCGAGGATTCAAGGAATCAAACGAAACTGGGACCATTTTAGCTTGGAACTACCCAGTACAAGTTAGAAGTACTTTAGAGACCAGAGACCAATGATGTAAATCATAATTGATTTGAAGTTTCCTATTCCACTTGTCCATGTACTTTCTCACAACCTTTTTGGAAGCAAGAAAGATATTGCATATTCTACGCAAACCTTTTTTATAGCTTAAGGACCACACAAGTTAAAAGGAACGAATGGAAAAGGAGTATTGTTAGCGGTGGTCAAAAAATGATTAAAAGCGGCCCTGACTGATCTAATAAATTGTGTTCAATAAAATTAGTGCAAACATTAAACTTAGCTCTAAAATCCATCAGTGATAAAAAAAACTAGCGCTGTCACCCAACAGATCGCATATGAAATGTACTATATATTCCACCTGATGACCAGTGCTTATAATGAATACACTTGCCACCGATCTTAATCTGGTTATTGTACCAAAGAGCAGAGTGTACTGGTAACTAAAGCTATGTGTATCCAAGTGAATTTCTGCCAAGAATTCATGATGTCGATCCAAAACTGATTACCACGAAACATGAAATTATGATCAACCAGAGTCGATAGAACTACTTCCAATATATACAGTAATACCTAGAATTTTGTGACATAAATAGGCCCAAAGCTGAACCTTCTGCATCTGAAACTTGAAGTCAGCAAAACCAAGTAATTTTACGAGCGTCAATAAAGGACCTGACGTCGACCATTTGTAAACCACCCAAGTTGTAATATTGAATAATTTGATTTCTAGAAACAAGATCGTTACCTTTCCAAATGAAATTGAAGAATATAGTATTAAGATCGTTCACAATATTACCGGAAGGATCGGGTAAAGTGAGAATATCTTAAGTAAGTTTAGACATAATTAAAGATTTCACAACTGTCACTCTTCCCAGGACAGCAAGGTTCCGTTTAGACCACTGGGCAATGAGTTTTTTATGTCAAAATAACATCATTATAATTAATCATAGCCATAGAGCTCAAATCCGTTGAGAAATTAATTCCCAATATTTTAATACTATCTTGAGGCGCAACCCAATGAGCATTAATGTCATTACAAACTTCTTCCCCGTTCAATACGTCATGGGCCCTAACCAAACTACACTGGTCTTGTCCACATTGACTCTCAATTCCGATAAATTAGCAAAGCGGTCAAGAATGGCAAATGTAGCATGCATAGATCTCTCTGAACCATTTAGGAAAATTACTGTATCATCAGCAAATTGAGAAATTGGAAATTCCTTGTCGCCCAATTTAATACCATGGACATATATATACATTAAAAGCATCTCAAGGAGAAGCTGATTGTTAATAGTAAACTGGATATCTCTCGGATGAACTTTTTTGAGATTATCTAATGGCTAGGAAAGGCGGCATAACCTTTCACAACATCGAATACAGTGTCTTTAACTCATTTTGCATAGGCTGAATCAGACAACAGAGAAATATTGAATTTCCAATACCCTCTACCTTGCTTCATATCAGAAAAATCAAGTTGAATATCAATAAAAGAATGGTATGACTTATAGCCAGGCTAAATATCACACAAAACTAACTTTGCATCAAGTTCAGATGAAATTAGGAAAAATCTAATCAAGACTGTTTAAGAGTATTGTGTTGCCTCCAGGTATATCTCCGGAGATTTGAGTAACGGATTCTCCACACTTTCCTATTCTACTCTTCTATTCAAGTATTGTTTCTTCAGCATAATTATGGCCTCGGCTCTGTTTCCCTTTTTATGTAATGTTCATGTTTCAAAAAATTTACAGCGAGAATTCAAACAGCAAGAAGTGATATAAATGGTTTAACTTGTATCTCCGTGCTGCATGTTACACAGAATTAAACACGCCTGTTATACACCCAGATCCACTGGCGTACCCGGAGTCGCCCCAAACGGAAATTGAAATCAGTACATAAACAATTCGACTTCTGAAACAAATGAGGACTGATTACCCCTAAGGACCTCTTAAGGTTTACTGTTGCTGTCGTTCTTAATAATGGAGCTTAAACACCTCAGCTTCAGCTGTTGCCCTTATCGATGATGATTGTATCAACTAACGGGTGGGGGGGGGGTTCAGCAAACTGCTGACGGACTCTCCTCCAACGATCCACTATTACTAGTGGCATGGCAAGTGCAGAAGTTCATGATGTAATTATGCAAATTTTATCAAAATGCTCTCACAAATAGGGGCGCAGGCCTTTTTCATAGAGAGAGATATTCTTTTTCCCCATTTATTTTATTTGACCTCAACTTGTTAATTAACAACTGAAAAACAGAAATTAATAACTCAAATTACGTCCACTGGTATATTTGGGCTCGCGTCCATTCGAGCACCACCCACCTTCTTTTAAATACTGGATCTAGATGTTAGACTGTAAAAAGGCACTTATAGTTTAAACACATTTCTAGACTCTTACTCCATGACATATTCAGAAATTTGTCCACAAAGATAAACAACTCCCATGGAAAAGCACTTGATGTTGAAACAAATTCTTAAATGTATTTCAGTCATCTTAACCCTCAAACCCCTCAGTTGGTCCATGCTGGATTTCTGGCATGCTTGAAATACAATCCTTAGCGTTATAAATGTAAACTTCGAAGTCAATCACAGATACATTTTTGTTACAGTCATTTGAAGTTCAAGATTACAATGCGTGCCAGCCTGTATGCGTGAGTGGAAAAAGTATGCATTTTTTTTGCTGACCTGTCTCGCAAAAACGCGGCGCTGCTTAAGATCAGTATGCTTGATTTTCATAAAATTGGTGTAAAAATGAACGCAAAGAATTACTCTTAAAAATCCTGAGGTTTCAGCTGCTGAAAAACTTCATTGCAACCATCTAGGAGGGGGCGGATACCATCCTGTCTCTTTCATTAGTGTTAAAAAAAGTGGGTATAGACAATGTGTTCTAACTGTTCGCGCTGTTTTTACAGTGTATGCGCGTATTTATTGTTTAACCAATAAAAAGATGGTAGAGCCTTCGGTTTTACTTGCCGGTGTTTTATGGGGTTTTCCTCATAAAGTTAGATTTACTGTTGATCAGCCTGCATTGCAGTGGTTTCACTTGCCACCTTCATGTTTATTTACTTCCGTCTGTTCACCAAAAATGTTTAAAATGCGGGTTATTTTTGTCATGAATATGACCTTGGTTATTTTAAGGGCTTCATGTCGTAATGTCATAAAAATGCGTTGTGTTAAGTTTTCTTCCAGTACTTAGTAATGTTTGCCTTTATGAAACCAAAAGTGATTTGGATCGACTCAAGTCGCTCTTAAAATGTTATTTGGTTCGGAGCGACACGAGGTGCACATGTCTGACTGTGTCAGTTTTCCATAACCGTGAATATAACAGCACTCAAGTATTATTTCCCGTTTTTATTGTCCTCCTCAGGCATAAAGTATACTGCTGTTGTATAGCAACAGGTCGACCTAAACATGTCCGGACTTCATTGTCATTTGATTACGGCTTCGCTGGTCATCAGCTTGATGTGCATCATGGAAGTTTGCACTGGTACGTTGTGAAAAGCCCTAAATACCAACCTTTTTCCCGTGGCTAAATCTTACGTCTACACGGCGGTTCCCACCATGCCTTGTGCGATAAAGGAACGCGCACGCATCCCATAAAGTCGAGGTTGCCTCAAAATAAACCGCATTATTCAATGTTACCTGTCAGACACCATAAGATATTCAAACATTCAGCACGCTGTATCATTTTCTGGACATGCCATCATCGAAGGAAAAGAAGATATTTTTCTATTGCCCCTCTTCATGCAACTACAACTTCAGGCTTGCCTGGAAAGCACCAATTTATCACTTTGACCCGTAATTTGGGTGGTAATCTTTCGGGCTTGCTTTTATTTCAGGAGAAATTCATAATCTACCCCTCCAGTTTTCGAAACAGATTTGTAATGCCCAAAACACTTGAACATAGTTAATATGTTTGAAAAAGTTATTCCTCTGAAGGAAAAACCGATAGATTTGGGGAGAAATTTAGCTGCTGCATTATTAGATCTGATGTCCTCAACAATTGGCAGTCACTCACAACATGATAATTTTGTCATCTATTGTGGCCAGGCCCCGTCATGCTTGAGTTACGGTCACCTGTTGAATCGATGCCAAATCGGAACCCGTTAGGCTTAAAAATGAAATCCACCTGGGTTATGTCGGCGGGTCCTTGTTTTCTAACTACCAGATTGGACAACAACAATGTCTTGAACAATGTCGTGGTATCCGTTATCACTGTTATGCTAATGGCATCCAACTGCACGTGTCATTTGAACCAAAACCGACCGATCCAAACTGCTTCCAATCGGCAAATTGGAAGCACTGAATTGGTGTTATGGATGAGTTTTAGTCTCACCACCAAATCTGAATTGCTTTGTTTGGCTTCGGACTTGGTAATTCTGCTGTTAGTTTTGCTGCAACCTGTAGGACCCTCGGTGTCACCTTTGACCCTTCCAATGTCAAATGTCAATGTCCAATCAATTTTCCATTAACTGCAAATCTATTCGTTTTCATTTGCGTAATTTTGGTTTAAATCCCAAGTACTTAGTCGCTTTGCCACAGAGAATCTCTCTCTCCATGTGTGTAAATTTATCTATTTTATTCGGTTAATTGTTTCCTATTGCACCATAAGTGTCCCCCATGGCCGATAAAGGCGCGTTATAAAGTTAGATGTACTAGATGTACTCCCTAATGACTATACAATTATATAGGTCTATAATTATGTCTTTTTGAAATTCCGTTTTGTTTATGACTACAGCAGTACACGGCTTATTCAGTTCCGATACCAGGCGACCAAAACGTGCAATTAACTTTGCACTTATACCCTCTCGTTTCTCCAGAGGTGTGCTTCAAGGACAGTTCTGACGCTGTGAACAGCGAACTTTGCTTTTCCAACCGCCTGGGATGCTGGGCCGAGGACCCCAAGCTGTACCCACGGAAACCGTCGGAGCAGGACAATCACTTCTTCCTCTACACACGAAACAACGCTGACAGCGTCGAGCTCAAGTGGGATGATGCCAGCTCGTTGGGCGCTTTCGATGCCCAACGGAGGACGGTGGTGGTTGCGCATGGTTTCCGTAGCAGTCCTGACCGTAAAGGCTTCAAGGGAATCCGTGAAGCCGTTTTGCGGGAGGTGAGCTAATGTAGCAAGAAGCAAATATCGATGTCTTTACCGTGAAGGAAATAAAACCAGTTCTTCTCACATATTTGATCTTGACCTATCGGCCCCCTTTTTCAAAAATTATCTCTGCTCTCTTTTAAATGTTCCCTCCAACTCCCGTAGATTTACACAGTTTACCAAGCGAGAGGCCCCCTTTTTCAATGTAGCAGCTACGGACCAATTATGCTTTTCTCTCCATCGCGGACAGTTTTCGCAACATTCCCATGCCCGCTTGAACCCCTGTTAGTCAACACAAAGACGACCTGTAATCAGGATTTACAGCAGGGCGCTCAACTCCGGACTCTGACTCTCGACCTCCGTCTGCTGTCCGAAATACATCGTGAGTTCAACCAACCCTTAAAGATCAATCACATTGGTAATTCACAATTTCAAAATTTAGGAAATTTAAATAAAATAAATAAAGATTGCTGCTGACATCAAAAGCACGAGTTGAAGTCCTCCTTCATATCAGGCAAACTGAAAACAAAAGTCGTCGGAGTATCCAACAGAAGTCAATTTGGATGACGTCACACTACGGCTCTGCAAATTATACGACTGTTTCATAATTTGGGCGCAAATTTGAGCTCGCACTTAACTGTGAATTAAACGAGGTTGGACTGCGAGATCGACTTGGAATTTGTTTTCCATCGACAATGTTGATCAACACCGGGTCGTACGATAAAGTTCTTGTATGATAAAGGTCGATGTTGAATTTTAGGCAGATGGCGGCGATCAAATGCCGAGAATACCATCCAACTTTACCTGTTTTTCTCTGTTCTTGTGCTACAAAACCCCTATTGCAGCTATAAGGTAAAGAAATACTTGGAGAACGAGAACCCTATTAATGACATCGTCAAATCGCTCGATTTGTTTTCCGCCCTCATCTACGCAATTTTTCTTGAGCATTCTCACGATGGAACTGAATGACTATTTTTTATCAATGTGGAAAGAAGCTGCCACGTTAGTCATGCTAACAATGACCATTTCTCTGTTAAATAACCATTTTACGTCAAAGCAAGGTGCATGATTGATCTTTAACTGTGGCCTACATTGATTTAAAGGCAGCCGTTGACTCGATTGAAAGAACAGCTCTTTGGAAAGCCCTCCAAACCATACGCGCTCCTCGTCATCCCTCGCTTTCCTGACGCTGAGTATACAGGATGACACGTGCCAGTATTCCAGTCCTACTACGCGACCCAGAATATTACACAAAGCATGCGCTGAACATGAAAGCAAACTGTTGCTTAATTTGGTAATAAATCAGAACAATGCTACCTGCGTCTGCTGTCAAAGATTTCAGTACAACATTGGATGAGAAAGCAAAACTATATCCTCNGTTCCTCGGCCAGGCCGTCAGTCCTATGTGTGGTGTGCCCCACTCTCCACTGTGCTCTCGACTCTCTCAACACCTCGAAACTGGCCCCAAACCGGTCGCCCAATGCCGTATGGTACGCCGTGCTGTTCCATGCTCTTCTAGTCGGCCGAACCCGCCCCGTTTAGCACCGTCAGTCTGGTGCAACCAGAAAGCCAATCAGTCTCATTGTCTGCAACTCTATCCGGACGGGGCAGTAGAAGCACCTAGCCTGGTTAGTCCGATACCAGCCAGACGTTCTCATAGCAAACTTCAGCTATCGCTCGCTGTCCTAAGGAACCAGCTTACCGCTGGTAAAACTACTGCTGCGGTTATTTTCTTCAATTTACAACCCCATCCGGGCCGTGTTACCATTTGCATTAAGAGGCGACTACCAATACGTTTTCCGTGAAAGAAAGAGTGGGGTTCTTTCCTGACAGGCAGCTTCAAATCGATCTTTTCAATTGGCTCTTTTGTCTTCTTTCCTTTTGTCCCTACACATTCCATCAATTTCCCAAACATGGAAAAATGTATAACCATGTGTAATTTTGTTTTCGTGCGTGCAATGACAGCCTGCCTAGGGCACGGGTTGGTTGTAAGAATACACTCCAAATTACCCTTCTTCTAAACAACTTAGCAACCAACGAAGACGAATTGTTTGAGCGTCATACACCTTTGATATGTTAACAACTTTGACTGTAATTGGCCTGCCAAAGTTGGATTATAAGTTATTTCTTTTTGTAATGAACGCAAGAATTATGATAATTGCCACAACTGTAGTCATTGACGAAATTTGTTTGGGCTGCGTCCATCCCTTAAAAAGTAGGAAGTGTTAGAAACGGTGCAGATGCGGGATGCATATATGGCTCACTGTGGGTAGTTTAACACCGACTTAAGGAGGTCATTTAAACCTTACCAGTGTATACGTGAGCATATTGATGTGAAATGGACATTGTTTACTCTGTGTCGGATACATTAACCTCACGAAGCTGTTTTTCCACCCAATTGTCCGAGCCGCATGTGGATCCCGTAAAGCGTACCATTTATGATCCCCCATTAATGATGTCCAAAACTCTGTTGGAAAACACTCTAGAAATTCAAGATTCGCAGGGTAACATACATTGTGGAGAAAATGTATGCGTATTGGAGAGCGACTTACATTTGAATCCTCCGGGCTGAGAGCATAGTCGCTTAACATTTTGCATGACTGTCCCACCGGCGTTGATCTGAGAGTGGACTTTAATTTCTGTTAGGTGTACTAAAAACACTCTCATTTGCTAATTTTGAATGCATCTTCGACTATGCCAACTCCCCATTGTATTGATAATGCGTTTGTTTAACAGTCTGACGTCAATGTTATCATGGTGGACTGGAGAAAGGCCGCAGCGGGGTTACTAAAGTACCCCCAGTGCCGCGTGAATTCTAGGCTGGTCGGGCGTCAACTTGGCATCCTACTGAAGCTGTTGCATGACCACCGGAACCTAGACTATGCTCATGTACATATCGTGGGTCATAGCCTAGGAGCCCACCTTTCTGGATTAGCTGGGAAGTATTTGGGAGGTCAGGTCGGTCGTATAACTGGTGAGTATGGGCAGGAACGGAAACTGCACTGTTAAAACTGGTTTCTCAGAACCGAAGCTCCTCAGTATTGAGGCCCTTAGGGTCCTGGCAGAGATTAAAAGGTTGAGCAGCTTCTTGGAAAAATTTCATTCGTCGGAATTTTTGTTTGCTCAAAATAACACTAGGTTTCCTCTAAGTAATATTTCTTTTCTTGGAATCATTGCGTCGGCTTGAAATTATTACGTTGCCTTGAAACTCAAAATGCCGTTCGCTTTTCAGATGATTTGCTACAGGTTGATATGTTCTTTTCAATATTTTAAATCCCACGCATTGCAAGTACTTCATTTGACACAATGCTTTAATCGACGAAATCCCAAACCTCGTCACTCCTGTGGATGCTTACGATAAACAATTCCATAAAAAGAACTTGACGCGTTCTATAAGTGCCAATTTCAAATGCTTTTGCATGGCCCCCTCTTGCCAAGATCTCGAGTTCTTGCTGCGGTAAAAGGGAGGGTTCAGTCAAGTGACAGTAAGGAGACCTCAGATCGAGACTTCGTGACAATGGTGTTAAAAGTATCTATTCCCCAGAAAGTGCAAGGAAATAGGCTCAGATGAATTCAGTACATTTTGCATTACACTTTAACATATTCGTCTAATATTATGGAATGTGTATACATGTACTTCCTGAATGTTAACTCATAACTTGTCTCCAACGGCCATTATTGATTCAGGTCAAATTTGACGTTTCAAAGTGGGGTTTAGTAATTGGAACTAAGATACGTTGCTGGTATCGACAAGGTTTTGTTTGAGCTAAAGAATTAATGAACGCAGCAGTAGTGCAAACTTTACTGTCTGTCGGCAACTTTATTCATAATCTTTCAGATGCTGCTCATCCAAATGAAAAGTGCATTAGTACGGGACTGTACTATTGCATAGGAAGCCAACCATGACTTGTGGCAGTACCACATTGTGTGTCATAAAAACCATCAAAGTGTGCAGGAATTGCTATAAATATAACGATGGGGCTAGCTGCATTACGCCAAAAGCTAAACCTCACGGAATTGCAAAACGGTTTAGCTCTCCATACACACCATGTTGATTATTGTGATATATTCACTGTTTTATACTGCAGGTGAATTCAACACTGAAGCAAATTTTGACGTCAAGAAAGATTTGCAGCACAAATGCGCTCGAATTGAAGTGCGTTCGACTTTGCGAACTGGCAGCGCAAATATTGATCTGACGTCATAAATTTGCGTTTGTGTGCTTCGGCGCCTTAAGGCTCAAAGATATGAATCCTTGTTTCAGATATACACAGTCATTTCTGTGATAGCTTCTGTTTAATTTTTACTGCGTTTCTCTCCAATGCAATTTCAGTGAATAGGGAAGTTTCGAACGCTGACGCTTACCGGTACGTTTAGAGACGTCACCAGTTTGTGTGGTTTCATGACGTCATAGCAGGTCACCATCCTCTAAATGTATATAAAACGCGTAGGAAAATGTCAAAATGTCTGTGTTAAATTCTTTATGTATTCACGATGAGAATGAAAATTGAATGAATCGCTAACATATACGGGTCGGTTTTGCGGGCTTCAAAATCTTTTGAATACGAAAATATTAGTGTACAGAAAGTTGGTTTCAAGGTGGTATTCCGTTGTCAGAAATAGACTAAGTGAAACAACAGATGGCTGAACGTATGCATACGCGTATCTCTTTGCATACACGATACGCACTGAAAACGCGCACGTGGAAAGGCAACTTAATTCTCCCTATTTTACGGGGCAGTCTCGTTATAACTGCAAGTCTTATTGCTCATTAAAAAGTACGCGTTTCAGGGAATAACGTTAGGGGCTCTTGTCCAACTCTGATGCCTTGTAAACTGAATATATATAGGCCCTATATGCACATACTCCAACAAATTCGCGAGAATAATTTCGACTAGGCCTATGTACCTCTCAAATTACAAAGCGGTCTCGCTCGGCCCACAGAACAGAATGCATGTGTTGCTGTCACCGGACTTTTATTCATTGAAGGCCAGGGGTCATTTGAGCTCAGGTTAATTCAAAATTATGTCAATGTTAGCGAATCTTTGTTGGATTAAGAGTATATTCAAAATGAGTTTGTTAAAACTGGAGAATTCATCGTAGCCTGATTAACATGGACGGTGAACACAAACTGCCAAATCAGTTGGTAGAGTAAGTCTTTCAAGGAGTACATCCTAGAGGCTCATGTCTGAAATTCTGGTATACCTCTTCTTTCAACTGGAAGAGAGACAATTCAGTGTAGGAAATTGGTTAAAAGTAACCAATTATTGGTTGATATGAATCTTCTCTGGTTGTTTTACACAATACGCTTTTAGGGTGTAGGATTCGGGTTACACTTTCATTGCAACTGAATTACGTGTGCTCCCGACTAAAACCGTTTTCCCAGCCAAAGTCTAGGGAAGTACTCCTTAAAATGATCGCCTGAATACTTTGAAGTTCATTTGTTTCATTTGAAGTTCATTTGCACCACCAATTTCTTGACACAGGACTTGATCCAGCCAAGCCAGACTTCAAAGACTACACCCATATTCCCGATTGTATTCTGGATAAAACTGATGCACAGTTTGTTGATATCATCCATTCTGACAGAGGACACAGTGTCTATGGATTGCAAACGGCGGTAAGTATAGCTTTGCTAGCTTTGCAGTTTTGGTATTCATTTGCAAGGGGATTCGATATTTTCGGTTCAAGGAGGCTGGTATTTTATCCAATAGTTCAGAACATAATGAAAAGCCTGACAATAATTCATCAAAATTATAATTTTTAAACAGTCCTTTTCGAAGAAAGCACCAAAGTGAATGTTTGAAGACGGGAAATTGCCGTACTTGGAATTCTCAGTGTCGATCCCACTGAAAGGGGTACTTTTCCCTAAATTCTTGTGCTGGTCTGGACAAGATGGATAGAGAACAGATGTCTATACGGTGTAATCCTGTATGTTACCCGTTATTTCCTCCCTACAGATCGGTCATCAGGACTTCTACCCAAACTATCATAAGTTTAATCAGATAGGGTGTAATTACTTCAATACCTTGACTGGCTGCGCTCATACGCGTGCTGTCGACTTCTTCATAGCGAGTGTGGAACACCTCCGAGACCCGTCCACAGAGTGTGACTACTCGACTAAGCCTTGTGATGGGAGCAACTGTCCCAGTAGTGGCTGCCCCAAAATGGGCATCGAGGCTAGCCCTACTGGGGAAGAGCCTAAATCCTATTGTCTAAAGACAAAGTGTTACAAGTGGTGATCGAGTCGATCAAGACCACGTAAATACCCGAAATAGTTTCGTTGCCAAAATGGGGTCTTTTTACTGTCATGATTGTATCTGACAGATTTTGTCACCATAATGCTAGCGTTAGTAAAAATGCACGTTATTTGGCAAGTTATTATTCTACTGAAGAGAAATAAATGTCCCGAAATGGTAAGCCGAAATTAAGTACACGTTTTGGTATAATCGTCTTTTCAATATAATTATAATACATAAAATCCCCTAACGTTAATGTTGGCCTTTCCAGAAGTATTGCTGATCTTTTAGAGTCTTTTACTTCATAGGCAAAAAAAAATAAAGTTAGAAAAATTGACTCATTATTTCTATTACGTCTTCATTGCATGAAATTGTTATGGGCTCTTGGTTTTCAGTTGGAGTTAGGTAATTGTTAAGATTCGTGAAAATAGACATTCGTTCACCGAATTTCGAATGGGTAAAAACATTTTATGGTCAAAGGGAAATTAACATTTTGGGTGTATTGTCAATTTGGAGAATAATTTTGTGCAACAAAGTGGAGGATCAGAATTTGTTTTTTGGTATTTCGGTGGCGACTTTACGTATTCGCCATGCCTAACATGTTAAAGAATTTTAAAGATAACTTGCTATTACTGAGGGAATAAACATGTGCTTTGGAGAATGAATGTGCCTCTGGCGAGTGGTCCTTTGGAGATTGGCGCGTGTGTGACGAATAATGCGTCAGGTGGAGCAGAACGCGTTGACCCACTGTATGTAGTGGCGCATTTGGAATTCTCAAAATGCAGATTAGTGAAGACGCTCGTTCACCCAACACAATGGACTAAAAAAGGACAAAGTGTTGAAGATTAGCCAGCCGGGGAGTGGCGTAAATTTGTGCCGGGGACACATTTAAAGCAAGACATGGGACGGAGAGACCCCCCCCCGCCTTTGTGTTGGTCATTGCTTGATCGAAATCTCAGGAATTCTTTACAGACGTCAGGGGGTTGTCTTAGGTAACAGTAGTCTAGAGTGTGTATAGGGATGGGACAGGTAATTTATAAGGGGGTACCCCTCTGTCCCATATCTTGCCTGGTATACGGGAACGGGGTGACGGGACGGGGGATGGCTTAAATAAATGCCTGACCTGAGAAATTCAAAACGCGGGGGTGGGGGTTGCTAATAAGTGCTACTAAGGGGCGCAGTCCATGGTGAAGATGTAATGTTCACACTCTTTCAGCTTGCATTATTACAGCGCATTAACAGCTTCGTCATGCGTATTGAAAGTGTGGTGGTCCTGCCCCCATGATTTGAATTGGGATGGAAAGCGCTAATAGCAAAGTACGCAGAATCCCCTCCACGTTCAGTATTGGCCTGCACGACCTAGCACTGCCAATCAAGTACAATAACGAAAAAGTTCGAATCAGTGAAACTTTGAAGACAACAATAACATTCAATTGAGATCTAGCGGCATTGTACATCGTTTGATATCTTTATTTGAGCGTCACTTGTCTTCGGGTTTTCACTAAGTTCAGTGGATTTGTACATGTATAACGTTTTTGGTTTTGTTAGTCAGGTGACTGGCACCTTCTCCACGGGGAATAGCTGGTGATACGATCGGGCTCGAGGCAGGCTTTTCCCGTACATGCAAGCAGAAAAAGACGCGTATAATTATACCAGGCAAGATATATACCCAGCAAAAAATGAGACCGAGGGTAC